CACACAATATATCAACTATCACAGATATAGGAATAGCACGGCACACAAACATATAAACTATCACAACTATAGGAACAGCAAAGCAGACACAACATATAAACTATAACAACCATAGTAATAGCAAAGCACACATACTATATAAACTATCGCAACTATAGGAAGAGATAAGCACACACAATATATAAACTATAGCAACCATACGAATAGCAAAGCACACACAATATATTAAATATCACAACCATAGGAAGAGCAAACCACACACAATACATAAACTTTCACAACTATAGGAATAGCACGGAACACACTATATATCAACTATCACAACCATAGGAATAGCACAGCACACACAATATATCAACTATCACAACTATAGGAATAGCACGGCACACACAGTATAGAAACTATAACAACTATAGGAATAGCAAAGAACACACAATATTTAAACCATCACAACCATAGGAATAGCAAAGCACACATACTATATAAACTATAACAACCACAGGAATAGGAAAAGACACACAATATATAAACTATCACAACCATAGGAATAGCAAAGCACACATACTATATAAACTATAACAACCACAGGAAATGCAAAACACACACAGTATATAAACTATAACAACCACAGGAATAGCAAAGCACACATACTATATAAACTATAAGAACCATAGAATAGCAAAGCACACATACTATATAAACTATAACAACCACAGGAATAGCAAAACACACACATATACTATATATTAACTATCACAACCTAACCAATAGAACGGCACACACAATATATATACTATCGCTACCATAGGAATAGCAAAGCACACACAATATAGAAACTATCACAGCCTAAAGAGTAGCACAGCACGCACAATATTTAAACTATCACAACTATAAGAATAGCAAAGAACATATACTATATATTAACTATCACAACCATAAGAAGAGCAAACCACACATACTATATAAACTTTCACAACTATAGGAATAGCACGGAACACACAACATATAAACTATCACAACTATAGGAATAGCACGGCACACACAATATATCAACTATCACAACCATAGGATGAGCACGGCACACACAATATATCAACTATCACAACTATAGGAATAACACGACACACACAATATATAAACCATCACAAATATAGGAATAGCACGGCACACACAGTATAGAAATTATAACAACTACAGGAATGGCAGAGCAAACACAATATTAAAACTATCACAACCATAGGAATAGCAAAGCACACATACTATATACACTATAACAACCACAGGAAATGAAAAACACACACAATATATAAACTATCACAACCATAGAATAGCGAAGCACACATACTATATAAACTATAACAACCACAGGAATAACAAACCACACAATATATAAACTTTCACAACCATATAATAGCAAAGCAGACATACTATATAAACTATAACAACCACAGGAATAGCAAAAGACACACAATATATAAACTATAACAGCCATAGGAATAGCAAAGCACACATAGTATATAAACTATAACAACAAAAGGAATAGCAAAACACATACAATATATAAACTATCACAACTATAGGAATAGCAAAGCACATATACTATATATTAACTATAACAACCTAAAGAATAGCACGGCACACACGATATATATATACTGTCACTACCATAGGAATAGCACGGCACACACAATATATCAACTATCACAGATATAGGAATAGCACGGCACACAAACATATAAACTATCACAACTATAGGAAGAGCAAAGCACACACAACATATAAACTATCACAACCATATGAATAACAAAGCACACAAAGTATGTAAACTATCACAACCACAGGAATAGCAAAACACACACAATATATAAACTATAACAACCATAGGAATAGCAAAGCACACATACAATATAAACTATAACAACCACAGGAATAGCAAAACACACACAATATATAAACTATAACAACCACAGAAATAGCAAAACACACACAATATATAAATTAAAACAACCATAGGAATAGCAAAGCACACTTACTATATAAACTATAACAACCACAGGAATAGCAAAACACACACAATATATAAACTATCACAACCATAGGAATAGCAAAGCACACATACTATATAAACTATAACAACCACAGGAATAGCAAAGCACACACAATATATAAACTATAGCAACCATAGGAATAGCAAAACACACACCATATATTAACTATCACAACCTAAAGAATAGCACGGCACAGACAATATTTAAACTATCACAACTATAGGAATAGCAAAGCACATATACTATATAAACTATAACAACCAAAGGAATAGCAAAACACATACAATTTATAAACTATCACAACTATAGGAATAGCAAAGCACATATACTATATATTAACTATCACAACCTAACGAATAGCACGGCACACACAATATATTTACTATCACTACCATAGGAAAAGCACGGCACACACAATATATCAACTATCACAGATATAGGAATAGCACGGCACACAAACATATAAACTATCACAACTATAGGAACAGCAAATCACACACAACATATAAAACTATCACAGCCATAGGAA